TTTTAATCATTAAATTATATAAAAAAATAAAAGCTGATTTTAATTTTATTAATTAACTAATTAAAACAATACATGCAACATCGATACTAACATTAATATTAACTTTTTTAATTTTTTACTCTCCTATTAGGATTTACTTACCTCAATTTAACTTTTATATAAAATTTTAACATGATAATTTTATATAATAAATAAATGACAATTAAATATATTTTTTTGTATGTAGTATTTATTGAGTAATTTCACTTATATTAAAAGTTTTATTATAATTCATTTACTATATAAAATCATTGAATCAAGCTCTAAATAAAAATTAAATTGATACAACTAAATCCAATTGAATAGAATATAAGACTTAATGCTAAAAAATGCAATAAATATTACATTTTTAACCTATACTTTAAGAGTATATGTTAGAAAAACCTTTTTTATTTATTTAAGGTTTTGTAATTGAAGATAATTCTTTCATTGTTTTATTCACTTCACCTGCGAACTAATAAAAGAAAAGAAATTTTTTATTTTATAGTTTGGGCTATTTTAAATTATAAAATAAGATCTTAGAAAATTTTTAATATCAAAAGACTTATTTTTTGTTTAATAATTTATATTATATAGTTTAATACAATGTAAATTATAATTTTTTTAAAAGAAAAAAACACAGAGAAAGTTAGTACGCGGTGAAGATCATGACTAAATTAGAAAACTAGAACTAATGGCCAAAAAAAGGAACTAGAAAACTACAACTAATAACGTCTAACTTTAGCTGCCAAAAGGAAATTACTTTTAAACCAATAAATAGTTGGCTAAGTTTTGATCTTTCTTGATTAGGGGTTTTGAACTTTGATATATGCTCCAACATGTTGCACTACTAGTAATGTAATCTTCTTCCCAAGACTTAGTTAAGAAAGGATTAGCATAGAGATTCTGATTATGTTGCTAAATATAATATATAAAAAGATTAGTAATTGATCTTTTTTTTTTTTCCTGATTCTTCTATGAGGATTAGTAATTGGTTAAATCTACAAGGCCCACGCTCAACTTCAATCGGTATCATCCCACGTTAGCATTTCCTGTAGTAGTACGTATTTAATAAAGTAAGAATTTATTTATATATAAATTTTATATATTATATTTATATAAAATTTTAACTTATAATATTTGAGATATATTTTTTTTATTAAATATAATTATTTTTATTTAAAAAATTATAATAAATCTTAATTATTAAAAATATAAAAATAAATAATTAATATTTTGTACAAATCAAGTGTATAAAAGTGAATCCTACTTTATTTAATATCATTTTTACAATCTTAAAATAACACAAATTAAAACCGCAGTGTGTTTGCCTCTTTGGTGGATTAAGACATCAGTGAACGTTGGGTCTCTGCAAATTAATAGAAAGTTGATTTATTAATATTGAAAGGAATAGACTATGCACAAAATTCCAAAAACAGAAAAAAGCATCGGCTTAGGTAATTTGGGAAGGTTAAGCAGAGATTCTGTCTGTAACTTTAGTATCAACTTTTTGTAAAGCAGGGTTGATTAATTGGAAAAAGTTCATTAAACAAATTCATTAGTAATATTTATATATATGAGTGAAGTTTAATCAATAACACAACAATAACACAACGTAGGAACCTCTATGAAAGAGAAGGGAAATTTTTATTTATCTTTATTTTACGATATTAAACAAGTAAATGTATATAAATTCACATATTCAAATTAAATTAGTCTTTTTTTTTTTTAAATTAGAGTGGGGTATTATTTGACCAATTGGCCCATGTAGCTTAGCCGCCTGGATATGAACCCCTTGATTATTTTTAATTTTTTTCCCAAATGATGATTGAATTAGTTTAATCAAGTGTGGGGTAAGTGCGTGGACTTTTTCTTACATGGTTGTTGTTTATTTTATTATTAGTTTATTAATCATTTTAAAACTCATAATTTGAAGTCTTGAACATTGGATTGAAAACATGGAAAACACGTACCTCACATTTTGATGGCTCATGGCTATTGTCATTTAATTTTGATTATTTTTTGTTTACATAGTTAAGCATGGAAACCAAATGGAGGAGTTCTTTTTTGTCTTAAAAAGCTTTTGAGCACTCACCATAAAAAAAAAAAAACTCATTTATATTTTGTTTGGCCTGTTACAATGCTTCGGTTAGATAATCCCTTTAAATTTTTTTTTTTTAATATGTCTTTCACGTTAATTTGGTATATTTTAAAAAATTAATATAAATAGAAAGTCATGTATTGTGAAAAAACATAATTACATAAAAAACTCCAGTTCACTAGATTGAACATATGGAATATAAAATGTTTGTTTATTTTAACAAGACAGAATTAAGAATGATATTTTATTAACAAATTGAATGTGGCATTAATGTATAATTCAACCATGAAATAAAATATAAAAACCATAAAAAGAGAGAGAGAAAAAAAAAGCCCAATGGAAGAACTTTGATCCAATGTCGAAACCGGTAAGCCCATAAAAACAATTTAAATTTGGTTGGGCCCAGTATATCGATTTATCCATTTTCTCTCACTTCCCCCCTAAAGGGGATGAAATTTGGTACAAGCCCATGAAAATTAAAATGAATTACTGTAGGAGCCCTAGAATTACTGGGCTGGGCTGGGCTGGGCTGGGTTGGGTAAGCACCAAATCCAAAATACTGAATGATTCCGTCGTTATTACGAGCAGGTTACACTGTAAAAACCTCAAGCCTCCATGGATAGATAGAAGTGAAGGTAGAGACAATGGGAGAAGCAGCTGGGAAGATAAGCAGAGAAGATGTGATAGCAAAGCTCAAGGACGATGGCGACTTCGACCGTCTTCGCCTCAAAATCATTCGCAAGCTCAAAGAAAACGTATTTCATCTTTTAATTCCTCAAATTTCTTTTACTTTCTTCTTCATTTCATGATCTTGGAAGCAAAATTCTTTTTCAGAATGCTGGCACATAGGAAACTGTACTTCATTCCTTGTACTTGATTGATTAGTGGGTAGGGAGTAATTTCGATTCATAACAGAAAAATCCTATTGGGTATTTGTTTTCACTTGATTTTGTTTCTTTCTGATCACCCAAGAGCTTCATTGATATGATATGTTTACAATCTAATTCATTATCTGGAAACCCATGCCTTTGTCTTGTTTGATTGGTACCAACTGATCTTCTTTGAACTGTCGGGTTGGTTATAGATACAAGCAGTCAACTACAAGTCTACAACCCATCCCATTGGTATTCTTAAAAGTTTCGAAATTTTGATGATTTTAATGGCTGCTAAAATCCCATTACATATGGGAAATAGGCAACAATAGTCCCTTGTATGGGAAATTGCTTCTAATTACAGGCTTTGGTTATTGCATTATGCTTCTTTGTGGCTGGAGTTCGTGATTGCCTTATCCTGTTCTTTTGTATGGTTCTGATTGGCTGTTCTGTCAACTTGGTTGTGCGAGAGTCCTGTTCTTGGTTGTGTTTGCAATGTCTTAACTCCATCACAACATTGCTTAGCTCTGTTTCAGCTTCGTGTAAACTTGTATAGAACTGGGAGGTTGTCCTATGTAGAACTTAATTTCTGAGTCCCAATAGATTCCAGAAATCATATATTCATGTTCTTAATGTAGTTTGGCTGTTTATTTTGTTCCTTCCAATGAACATTATTCTGAACAAGGTAGTTAATTGCAGGAAGAACTACGTGAAAATATTATTGCACTGGTGAAGCAGTCAGCAGCACTTAATCGTCCAGATGCTGAAAACATGAAACCAAGGCAACTTTCGGATGCCATATTTAATGAGGTTGGGTAAGGATTTTTTTACTTCAAAAGTCTAAATGATCTTGAATATGACTTCCATGCTTGATCTATTAAAATATGCTGGTCTGGCAAATAAATTTGGATAATGAGATTGATTGATTGGACATATATTGGGAGGAAAAAAAATTCATAATAAGTAATGGAGTAACTGACTTGATTTTCCATTGAAGAATAAGTTGGAACATTCAGTTCTATGACTCTCTTTAATTCTTACATTGCTATCTATCTGTAAACACATTTTTAATTGGGTACACACATCTGTTATTGATTTGCCATTGAAACATGTGCTTGAATTTGATGGTACTAATTCTTTCATGCTTATGATCATTAGGGACAAAGTGATGGGCCAGATTTCTGATGGTCTGTGGGACATAATCAGATCAGAGGGTGGGATGAAAAGTGAAATAACAGAAACAGTACAGTCTGTCTACAATAAATTAGTTACTCCTCAGGCCCAAATGAAAGAAGGTGAATCATCTAAAAATGATGGGATGCCAGTTAAAATGGAAGCTGACAGAAATGGATGCATCAAGGCCTCAGCTGATGGAGTTCATGATATGTTATCTGATGGTGAACCAAACGAGCCACCGGGTTTCTCTCAGTCCAAAAACCATCAAGACAACTGCCTTCAGGAGCAGCACAAAGACGAGCAGCAGCTATCCATGCCCTATCAGAGTGGACCAGAGGAAGAACAGAAGGAAAACCCCAACCATTCTTGGGATGTGCAGGACAGGTATGATGTTGACAACCTCAAGGACAAGCAGCCATGCAATGATAGTGATGAGGACCCGGATGTGCCTCCTGGATTTGGTTAAAGAGTCAACATAAAATGGTAGCTGGTATCTTTCTGCATGATTTAATTTTTGGAACAATTCATTGGATTATAGTTGATAACCTATAGATATAATTTTAGATTGATGAGATGTTAATGATATACCGGGAAAATTTCCTCCATCCTGCTATAGTGTTTAGTATCATATATAAGGTAGGGATGTTAAACTTAAGTTTTTCTGTACCACAGTTGAAGACAATGGTGTGTTACTTGTGAAATGAACCCTCTTATGAAGAAATAATCTTTCAATTCATTTGTCTGAAATTTGAACCTAATTTTAGACATTATTGTGTTTTTGTTTCATGTTAATCCTTGACTATGCACTAATGCACTTTGTATTGGCTTGTCATTAGACCAACTTTATTTCTGTTGGACATTAACTTTGATTATCTCATCGACAAGATAATGTCTCTGCATAGTGTAATTTTCTCCACATCTGTGCCTTGTAATATGGAAAGAGTTAGTACTTTTGATCATAAGTTTGTACAATTTAAATATTATTGAAGAAAATGTAGAAATATCAGATGGGATGGATCTTTTGATTGGTACTATTTTTGATTCTAGGACAGCACATCGTTGGTTGCTTTTCTGTCTGTCTTCCTAGTTTTTTACTTTAACCTACTTAAACCTTACTGCAATTGGACTCTTAACGGAGTATTTAGCATAAACCCATATTATATGCCCTTGTGCCAGTTCACCAGTTTGGTATCCCGATGCAGCACAAGTGAGGGTTACTGAATATGTTGCCTTCTGGTTCACCTGTGAGAAGTAGAGTTTAGTGGGATTCACCCTCACATCAACCCCTTCTGGAGGAACAACCTTTGCCACATAAGCAGACTTTGCCTCACCAACATTTGTTACAGTCCTTGTGAAGATCTGAGATGGTCCTAGAATGAAGGGTAGTTTAGCTCTCCTTCTGGTATAATTGGGTTTTCTGTGCACTTGATTGGCCCATGCGCAAGTATCCCAACTTGCTCATCTGTATAGCCAAGGCCGCACAGATATGGGATATAATCATCAGGTTGGATATCATAAATTAATCCTGGGTCATTACTCATTAGCTCTTGATGGATTAACATGACCTGCACCAGTAGCAAAGATATCTGCAGGTTGAAGTGTTTCATCAGCGAAGGGTTTCCTGTTGACATTTAGAAGATCAGCAGAAGTCAGTATAGCAGATTTAATGGCAGCTGGTGACCAGTGAGGATGAGAGCTCTTGAGCAATGCAGCAATGCCACTAAGATGAGGGCAAGACATTGATGTCCCTGAGATTATGTTGAAAGTGGATTTTGAATTCGTATTGTTGTCAAGAGGGAATGGCCAAGCTGCCAGAATGTTTACCCCAGCACCAATGATGTCTGGTTTCAGAATGCCAGGACTGGCCAAGTTGGGGCCTCTAGGTGAAAACGAAGCTACAGCCCGGGGCTGTTGCATCTCCAATGATTGTTCCTTTAGAGAAGATTGTTGCTATTGGTGTTTTTGTTGAATTTGTGTATGCTTTGATCTCTTGCCCAGCCGCATAACTAACATGTGTCGCAGGAAGAACATGAGCATCAGCATTGGTGCTGAAACCATCAGGTTGTTGATTCATGAGTATCATGGCAGCACCACCAGCGTTCTTGACTTCCTGTCCTTTGGCATCTCTTGCAATTCTACCTCCTCGTTCACACAAAACCACCTTCCCCTTGACATCGATGCCTTCCAATGAATCAATGATCCATTAGCACATAGTGCAGACTCAGGTTTGCCATTCACGCCAGCATAAACAAGAGGCAGCAGTGTGAGAGGGAAGTCATGAGGCTGGAAAACTGATTCTCCATCAAATTGCCATCCATTTCCAAGCTTCGCTGTCGCTAATATCTTCCTATCAATTGTGCTCGCTCCAACCGTGAGAACCCACGGAGCTTCATTAGATATAGTGCCATTGGAAGGGCCAAGATTTCCAGCTGAACTGCTAACAAATATTCCTTTCTGCATTGCTGCAAATGAACCTACTCCAACCACATCCCAGAAGAATGGAACTGATGAATCTGTACCAAGAGAGAGCGAGAGAACATCAACCCCATCCTCAACAGCGGCATCAAGGCCAGCTAGTATGTTGCTTTCTTCACAGTCTTCTCCAAAGCAGACTTTGTAAATTGCCAGGTGAGCAAGAGGAGCCATTCCTACAGCTGTGCCTTTGGCATTGCCTAGAGCATCAGCATACCGCACAAAAGCACCTGCAGCAGTGCAAGCTGTGTGATTTCCATGGCCATCGTCATCACTTGGTGGTTCAAACATGGTGCCATTTCCTTCAATGTTGAAAGACCTTGCACCAATTAGCTTGTTGTTACAGGCTACAAAGTCACATCTCCATTTCCACTTAGCTGGTGGGGGTGGCATTCCTTCATCATTAAATGAAGGATGGCTAGGCAAAACACCAGTGTCCAGCACGCCAATGATCACACCCTTGCCGAAATTTGATTCCTTCCAGAATCCTATTTCCTGGTGCAGCCCCAGGAAGACGGGGGTATGTGTAGTCTGCAGACGAAATTTCCTTTGAGGATGGGCTAACACAAACCCATCCATCTTTTCCATAGCATGCACTTCCTCCTCTGTCAGTCTTGCTGCAAAACCAGTCATGACATTTTTGTACAAGTAGAGCATGCGTTTCTGTTGTTGTTCATCTGAGCTTGCAATTCTGGATGGCAGAAACGACTTGTACCAGCTCCCTAGATTGACATTCTCCGATTGTCCAAAAAGACCTGCTTCCGGTCGCTTCACATGGACAACGTAAGTCTGTAGATTCTTTGTCCCAATTTCAGTTACAGGTGAAAATTCACTTCCCCTGGCAAACATATAATGAAAGTTGAGAAGCAAAATGAAAGAGAGGAAAGGAGGGAAAAACCATCTTTAACAGTGAATAGTGCCTATCCCTCAAGTTAAAAGGGAGAGATACTGAGATACAATTTTTGTGTTTTTCAATCACTTCCTCCTGCACATATATAGTCTGACGAAGTGAGACATCGCCATGGGACAGAGCCAATGAAGGACCCGGGGTTGGGGTTGGGGGAGTTGGTGGGGGGAGAGCTGCCCCTAAACTTTAGAAAAACATTTAATATGGTACTCTAATTTTTTTTTTGTTAAAAATTTTGTTTTTAAAGTATGAATTTTTAGGACCATTTCAAACATAGAGAAATTATTTAGGACTTAAATAAAGAGTTAAAAAAAAATAAGGATATGGTTCAAATGAAATAAATTTTATATCAATTTAAGTAATTAGGAATTGGAATCTTCAAACATTTCTTCCTCTCTTAAGCCCAAAAAAATTTTGATTCTCTATTTAAACAATTTTAAATTTACAGTTTTCTTTAGTATACTTTTTATTTTCTTTTTTAATATTCTATGTAATAATTTAAAGTTTTTTTTTGGGTATAGAGATAGTTTTTTATCTTTTATGATTGAATTTATAATTGTATATTTTTTCTATGTTAGATTAATTTCAGTTAGATTTTACTTTCTAAAAGAAATATTTTAGCATTTTTTTTATAATATTAGTGCTTATCAACATGAACTCCAAAAAAATTAGGGGAAAAAACACTCTAAAACTATATTATTTCAATAACTTTCATTTTTACTTTAAGAATATATTGTTTTTATTTTTTTTCAATGTAAATTTATTGAAAAAAATATAATGTTATGGTGTTTTTCTTTCTAATTTTTTTAAAGATTTGGTTAATAAACACATTTCCCTTTTTCTATTCATTCTTTAATTAATCATTGCATAATTTATTATTGTGATATTTTACTTTTTATTTTAATATATACATTTATATCTATTTTTTTTTTTTTAAGAATACATCAATTAAAAAAAACAGAAATAAATCTTTTTATAAGAGAAAGAAGATTTAAAAGAAAATGAATTAGTGTCTAAGATACTTGAACACTCAAATTTTCAACAACAATTCTTGCCCCCCTAATTGAATTTCTTGGTTCCATCCCCAGGCATGGAGAAGAAGAATCTGCGACTTCTTCACATGAGTTTATATATCAACTTGAGTCAAGTTCTGCAGATGGAGCATCACAGGGCCTGATCAACGATTCCATTTATGTTTACACTATAGACGGCAGCAGGATTTTAGCTTGTGGACAATTGTTTTTGCGAAGTATGTACTTACAATACTTCTACTTGGCTAACTAAACCTGTCTTGTTTATAATATCTGAATGATATTCCTTCAAGTAGCACAGGACCAAGTCTCACATAATCTGTTTGGCATATTTCCGTGTCTGTTGCTGGTGGTGGATTGATAGTGAATGTGAAGTTTTATGTTGATAGAAAGCAATATAATGAAGGGAAAATTATGATTTAGGCATACAATGAAATGATTTGATTTTTGGAATAATTTTCTATGAGTATAAATTAAATGAATTATACATTAACTTAGCGTTGGAGTGTAGTTTTGATCATCACTCATAATGTTAAGGTCATTAAAAATTATAAAATATTAATTTTAAAATTTTTAATCTTATTTAATTAAATTAATAAAAATGACTGTTATAACTATTAATTAATATATAATAGAATAGTTAATATTTATTAGTTAATAAATTAAAATTAATTGACTAATTAATATTTTTAAATATATTATTTTACAAAAATTAAAAAATTAATAATCGTAACATTTTATATATGTTATTTTTTATTGGCTACCATGAAAAATTTACATTCACGATAGTAGTAAGAAGCAGAGGTTCATCAATGACAGTTAGAAATATTTTTAGTTACATTAAGAAAAAAAAAATAAAATCCCCCGTATGTCTGCTTGATGAGGTTGATTATGGTTGTGTTTCCTATTATTATTATTTTTTTAAAATATAATCTTTCTTAAAACCTTTGCTTTATTATTAAACCAACAAATTTTCTTTGAATCCGACAATGGCCATTAGTAGAAGGCCGGTGAGGATAATGATGTATTTACCCTGCCAACCGACACCCACGGTTACACCATTCGAGTAAAAAAAATATAATATGAGTTAAATACGTTTGTATAGTGTAAAAAACTCATCCCTGGCTTGTCTGGGTTATCTCCTTTGAAGTCCCTAGTCTTGAAGGCAATTCAATCGGCCTTCCCCAACCTCCATTTCTCCAAATCCGACCTCCATTTCAATCCCTCCGAGCTCTACAGACTCGTCCCAATTTGGTGAAACCATTTCAATCGGCCTTCCCGAACTTCCATTTCTCCAAATCCAACCTCCATTTCTCCAAATACGACCTCCATTTCTCCAAATAGTGCACATTTCAGCACTTGGGCGATTGATTTGGTGAAACCATGTCAATCGTCCTTCCTCGACCTCCATTTCAAATGAGATGGAAACCTGTATTGAAATGAAGAAAACGAAGATTGTGCATAGATGAGATGCAGGGATGTGTGGGTTGACAGATACCCAAATGAGCCTTTTCAGAGCCATACTTGGGTGAGATGTTGTATTTAGCTAGCAGCCAGACAAAGGTACAGAGGATTCTTGTCTTTGTTGCAAAGATTTAAAGATTCGTGTTCTTGTTTCGTGCCTACCATCAGAACTTACCTCTCTCTTCTTTAATTTCTAAGATTAGTATGCTTTGAATTATTTTTGGGAACAGTTTTCTTTAGCTTAGAGAGACAAGGAGATGAATTGAGGTGGGGCTGAATCATTACAGTTAAGAACTCTTTGATTTCTCAATTTGTCTATTTTCATGCAAATGACATTGATAACCAAGATTTGCTTTTGAAGAAGGTGTAATATATTCATGTGTTCATATTGTTGTCTAGAATTAGAATAGCTCTCTTGCATTCTGAGGTTTAATTCTAGGTCTTTGAGTATATTCACCAAAGTAGTTGGATTAAGCTATTGGAGTTATCTAGGTCAACATTAAATAATGGAAAATTTCACTTTTACTCATTGTTATTGCAATAATATTTGCTTGACTTCTGTGTTGAGAACATTCACAAAGTACATGTTTCGGTTTCTAATTGGAGCTATATGTTGTATCTTGGTTTCTTTTTTTTTTTTTGTTTTGATGGCATGAACATAGAGTTAGTTCTTGTTATTTATTGATTTTGTAATGCTTTTCTGCAACATCCTTCGTTCTCTTTTCGACCCAAGTAATTTAGGAAATAAATGGCATATAAAATGTATAATTTAGAAAATCAAATTACTTACTTATTTTTTTTGAATTGAGTAATTATAGTCTTTAATTAGTCTAATTATTAATTAAATATAATTCATAGTTACAATTATTATTATTTTTATTAATTTAAAAATTAAAAGTACTTAACTAAATTATATTTGCAAAAACTGTTTCTAAACATATTAATGCTACAATAACTTGAAGCACATTAATGGTAATAATAACCACAAACCTCAAATTTTCCTTATTGGGTTTGTAGAATGACTAATGACCCAATAACATAAATACTTTTTATTCAGCCCCCATACTAGTAATAAAAATAATAAAATAAGCAAGAAAGATTAAATCTTATATAGACAAGGATTGCGGACCAAATCAATAATGTTTTTATTTTTTTTTTAAGTGCTGGTACATGTAACTTATTTATTTTTAAATTTAATTTAAGATAGTCTTTTATTTTTTATTTTTTGGTAAAAAGAGAGATAGTATAGATAATTAAAGTGCTACAGTACTCCTGGGAAACTTATTCCCAATAATATTCGAATACAAAATTTAAGATAGTCTTTACTACAATATGTTGTTGCAAGTAATTAAATATATTTATTAAAGATAGATTGGAAGTATATTAAAGATTGTGAAAATCTTTCGATGTGAAGAAGTAAAAGAGGGAAAAAAATACAAAAAAAATTCGGAGTAACTCAAACTCTTGTTACTCCGAAACTGTAATGGATATTTTTTAATTGTTCCCTTAAAATAACTTGTTTTTAATAAATTTATATGAAAAAATATAAAAAGCAAACATTAATTTTAATGTTAAGGGTATATAAAACAAGTTAATTAGATAATTAATAAATTAAAATATTCTCTTAATTTTTCCAAGATTGGTGCTCTTGCTTCCTATGTTAACAATATATGATATCAAATCTATAATTAATTGTTAAGATTATAGTAATCATAAATTATAATAATTGAATTATTTTTATACATTTGTTATGGTGAAAATTTTTTTCTTTTAACTATTTAATAATTAAAATAACAGTTATCCACCATATTAATTCAAAATTTTAAACTGTCATAAAGTAAATATAAATTTTACATGCCTAGTAGACCAAATGAACTTTGTTAACATGGAGGTTATACAGGATCAGTTTTATACATTAAATATCATATCTTAAACAATCATCCCTATCCTACATCGGAGATCGTATCAAAAGAAAACCATATCTTCTTCAATGTTCCCAGACTGTTACTTCAATAAATAATAAATTACAAAACATGAAGCAAGCAAGTGAGATTTGTTTCAATGTTTGTTCCCTTTCATTCATTTATGATAT